CCACAAAAGAAAAAAAAAAAAAAAAAAAAAAAAAAAAAAAAGAGAGAGAGAGAGAACCTAGGCCCAGTTTACTGGACACCTGTTGCACAAAAATGTGAAAGTACTAAACATTAGTGAATTTTTTGTACACTTAAAAATGGCTAAAATGATTAATTCTATATAATTTTAACCCACAATTAATTTTTTAAATTAAAATACAATGCCAGCACTCAGTGGGCTGAGGCTGGAGGATCATAAGTTTTAGAACAGCTGAGACTACACAGCAAGATCTTACCTCCAAAAAAACAAAACAATTAAAAAATAATTTTAATTTTCTTTACAATGAGTATATGTGGCTTTGTATATACATTTTTACGCAGTATTTTTTCTTTTCACATTGAACTGTGCAGTAATTCTTATAAGAACCACAAAGATCAACTAAAAACAGAAACTCAAAGAATTCCCTATCAAATGCCTGGCCATTCAAATCCTTTTTCCTGTGGGAAAGCTGTTAAAAATCCCTACCTGGGGCAGGAGGTGTAGCTCAGTGGCCATGTGCTTATCATGTGTGAGGTCCGGGATTCAGTTCCCAGCACACACACACTCAAAAATTTATGATAGGTTAAAAAAAGTAAAGAATTTCATAGTATCCCTGCTTTCCTACAAGGGTTTTTTGTTTTTTGAGACAGGGTTTCACTCTATTCAGGCTGGCCTTGAACTTACATCAATCCTTCTGCACCAGTCTCCTGAGTACTGGGATTACAGTTGTACACCACCCTCCCCTCACCAGCCTGCAGGGTTTACTCTCCTTGCTTAATATTCTATCTCCACAGTCTTACTATACATGAAATTGATTTTCTATAAGAAAGATTATAAGATGGGAAATCTCTAAAAATCAATTTATCCTTAAATTCATGAGAAGCCAAATACATGCCTAAAGATTTAATGGTTTCTTTTCTATCTTTTCAAGCATTTGGCTACATCTTCCCTGAATATCTCTGACCTTAGTTCACATACTTAAATTTTTTCAGTACTAAACTGAAAATGTCAGAGCCTGGGACACAGTTCTAACTCCATGAACCTCGCTTCTTAATGAACCATAGTTCTCTCCAGCTGTAAGATGAGGACGTTCAAGGGCCCTTCCCAGGTGTGACACCATGGTGACCTAGGGGAGTGTGGTCTGCACCCACCATTTAGTACATAGGGCTTCCGTACAAGCTCCTTGGGCCTCTCTTCCATGTCTACTTCCATGGCTTTCACCTGCAGAAAACAGAGTTTGTGAGACCAGTAGACAAGGAAGGCACTTTCATCAGGGCAAGTCTGACCTGGTTAAGAAGGACCCTATGCATCCCATTATAACCATATTACCCATAAAAAAAATCCCTGCTCAAGGTTAAACAAAAGTAAATAACAAGGAGAACCGATGTACTAAACTCACAACTAAACTCCAGTTCTCAAACACAACCAAGAAACTTCTTTTTCCATGACTATCTGTTAAATAACACTCCTTCCTTATTTGGTGTGTGATAACTGAAATAAGGCCATAAAAGTGCTTCATAATTTACAATGAGGGAGAAATATCAGATATCTTCTCTATGGGGAAGGCCTACCTAACAGTTGACTATGGCTTCCCATTTGATCAAGAAACATTAATGTTGTTTTTCTATGGCACAAAGGAAAAGACAAAGATGCCTAAAAGTAATGGGACAAATTCATTCACATGTCCATTCATTGGGTTAACTATTAGAATTGACAAAACACAAGGAGATTAGGTTAGAGGAAAGAGGCACAGACAATAAGCAAATAAGGAAATAAATATATAATATACCACCATGTACCTTCAAGCTCTAAAAATGAAAGGGAGGAGGTTCCTGGGTGAAGATGGATGTTAATTTTTAAATCTTAAAGGGGTGGCCTGAAAAAGACTTACTAGAGAGCAATCAGCTCTAGGGAAGCCTCAGATGAAGTATGACTGGGGGAAGATGTAGGAAACAGTAAAGATCTCAAGCTGGCGGGGTCCTTATTAGGAAAAATCGAGGTCAGCAGTTTACATTCTGGTAAATACCATTGTGATGCCAAGGGACTTTATGAGGAAAAATATTTTGTGTTGGAAAAAAGAAGCTCCAACCCAAGTCTAAATCTGTGCTATAAAGCGCTCTTTGAGCACAGTCGCCGCAGGCTGAGCGGCTGACAGTGGGGAGAGGTCGCAAACCCAGGAAGAATGTGAAACACAGCGAAGCAGGGGAAGGAAGGGTGAGGAAAGGTAAAGGAGAGAAAAAGTTTTAATGAAGAGGGAAGGAGAAAAGCAAGGAAGGCGGCAAAAGCCGGGATCCTGCCTTGTTCTTAGTACCTTTCTCCTAAGGAGGGGAACAGCCTTGTTGGGGTCCATGGCCAACCCCATCTCCGCCAGGTTCTGCCGTACAGATTTGGCGTGGTCCCAGGCATGTCGGATATGGGAGCTACCGGCAAAGAGAGAAAGATCCACATTCTGTCATCTCGTGGGCATGTCCTGGCCGAGGGCCCCTGCCTCCTGAACACCGGCCCACTCACCACTCTATCCGCGGGGCTGCCTTCCGTCGAGCATTCCGGTTCAGGCGCTTTCGGTTGATGTTATAACCGTATTTCTGCCTCCGAGTCTTGCCCTTAGCCTTCGGCATCGCGCTGACCAACGAACCAGCAACTCACTCAGCTACACTTACTCTGAGGACCTCGTGTCTACAGACTCCTTCCGGCGGGTGTGCGCAGGGGTTGACAAGCTTTTTGGGAAATGTAGTCTTTTCTGTAGCGCTTCCGCGCTCATTACTACGATTCCCAGAATGCAACGGCTGCTTGCGCTTGTTTCCCTGCCCCTTTCATGACCTCATCAGAAGGAGGGACTTAGCGTCCAGACTTTCTCCTACCTGTGTGTCCCCGGACATGGCAGCTCCAGACCCTGTGACTCCGGGGGTACCCTTTGAACCATCGCACCCCCCAGTCACTGAGGGCTTTAACCCCACTGTCTACAGCAACGCGGAAGGCTTCAGGGAAAAATTCCTTCGCAAGATTCGTGAGAACCCAGTGGTACCCATAGGTAAGTGGGTGCTGTAGGAACTCTAAATTGACAAGACAGTGATGTTGAGAAGATTGAAATAGGGGAGGACCTAGGACGCCTGGGGGGACCGAATGAGACAGCACCAGAGTTGTGGGGAAGGGCCAGGACAATGAAACTGATTGGAAAGGCAGTAGTGTGGCTTTAAGGGCTCCCGCCACCTAGGGGTGCTGGAATGGGGCGGAGAATGAAGAGGACAGCCCTGGTCCGATTTTCCACCCTTCACTTGCTGCCTTGTAGAGGTCTTAGGTCTGGGGAAGTATGCCTAAATGCCGAACGGAGGTGTGGCGCCTGACCTGCGTTCTCACTGTTTTGTCCATTCCTCCCCAGGCTGCCTGGGCACTGCGGCAGCCCTCACCTACGGCATCTACTGCTTCCACCGAGGCCACAGCCAGCGCTCCCAGCTCATGATGCGCACCCGGATAGCTGCCCAGGGCTTCACGGTCGTGGCCATCTTGTTCGGTTTAGCTGCATCTTCTATGAAGTCTCGCTCCTGAGCTCGCCACCAGGGCATAGCAGCTCCGCAGAGGTCATTCCCAAACCCAGGAGCAAGAACCAGCCGTGCCAAGAGACTTATTCCCTCCTCTGCCAGGCTTCTGTGTCATTGTGTAACCGATAGCGTTTTTTCAGAAATCCAGATATGGTTCACTTTAGGTGTTGCATATTTCTATTTGTGCCCCACCTCCTGCACTCCCTACATAATAAAATATAATCCACTTGTAGTTTGGTGATATCATTCTCCGTCTCACCCTCCATGATCAAAACCATGGGTTTTAGTGTTTGGTTTTACCAGAAAATAGACTGTATCCTGGAGAGGGCCTTAGAAATCATGTAGTCTGAGAAAGGTGGTGGTGCAACCTGTAATCCCAACACTGGGAAGCTGAGACAGGAGGACCTGAGCATCTTAGTGAGACCCTGTCTCTAAAAATAAAAAGGGCTGTGGATATAGTTCAGTGCAATGGTCCTGGGTTCAATCCCCAGTACCTCAAAAAAAAAAAAAAAAAAAAAAACAATCATGTAGTCTAGTGATTCCCAGACTTTCCTGGTAACAGTCACCTAGGACACTTTAAAAGTAGAGTCTTAGCTCAGTGGCACCATGCCTGCCTTTGCAAGCACAAGGTCCTAAGTTCAGTCCCTGGTATCACAGGAAAAAAACAAAAGTAGATTCCTAGACATCTCTTCTTTTTGAATTAGATTCTAATTCAGTGGGCCACTCTAGTGGTGCCAGTGGAGGGTAGGGGGAGAGGAATCTAGCCAACAGTTTTCAACTCAGTAGCCCTTAAATGAGACCTGCCTTCCACTTTTCTCCTCACCCCACCTTTGCCTCCCGAGAGCCTCTAGGGCTCCACTGATCTAGACGTCATGATGAACCTTTTAGAGCTTTCAGTGATAACAGACAGCTGGCTGCAGCACACATGCCATAGGTTGGCCACCACTGATCTATACCATCCCAGCTTTTGACACGTGAAGTCTCAATGGGTATTCTTGGTCTACAGTAAATTCTCAAGTGTTGATTTGGGGACCTAGGCTATACCTATCTTTCTTCAACACCACCTTCAAGTTGGCAAAGGGAAAAGACAGAAGTAGAAAACACACCTCTTCTTGGGCCTCTGACACATCTCGATCTCTGAGAGGAAGAGTTTATCATAAAGACCAGCTGAGTTTCTCGCCTCCACCATGGTCTCTCAGCTGTGAGGCAGATTGCAAAGCAGTGCATTGTAGTGACCCTTAGCCTCAAGATACAAAGAAAGGATGTGCAGTGTGAGGCCCATGATACTTTTAAAGAGAATATCCACCATAAGTGTGGTGTTGCCGTGTCCCCCAAAATGAGAGATTGAAGTTCCAACTCCTTGTCCCTTAGAATCTGACCTTATTTGGCAATAGGGGCTTTATAGAAGTAGTAATAATGAAAGTGAAATCATTAGGGTGGACTTTAATCCAATACGACTGGTGTTCTTATAAAAAGGGAAAATTTGGGCGCAAAGACAGGCATAGAGAGCAGACAACATAACAATGGCCATATGAGGATGGAGGCAAAACTGGAGTGTTGCACCTGCAAACTGAAAAATGCTTTAAGGCCACCAGCAGCTAGGAAAGAGGCACAGAAGATCCTTCTCTAGTGCCTTCACAGAAAATGGCCCTGGTGGCACCTTGACTGTGGTCTTACAACCGCCAGAACTATGGCACAATAAATTTCTGTTGTCAGCCAGTTTGCAGTACATTGTTACAGTGGCCATAGGGAACTTATATTGCTAGCAGTTAAACACTGTACAGGTCATGATGGCTTGAACACCTTTCTTACAGCCTCTGCTAAAAGAAGGAAACCAGAAACAAAGACAAGCTGAGTGCAGTGGTGCACACATGTGATGCCAGGACTCAGGAGGTTGAGGCAGGAGGATTGCCACAAGTCTGAGGCTAGCCTGGGCTACAAAATGAGACCTTATCTCAAAAAATTTTTTAAAAAAGTGGAAGAAGGTGTGGTCACTGGTTGTTTATCCCAAATCAACAGGTGGGCACAGCTGAAGATGGGGCAAAACACGCAGAGTTCTGGTCCCTCCACATCCTGAATATCCAGGCCAAATGTGAGCAAGTGGGTCTGGCAGAAGGTACCTTCACCAGGCTCTCTCACTAAGGCTCAGAAGCCACCACCGAAGACCTTTATTTTGCCTCTTCCCTCTCTGTGCCTTCTGGGAACATTGGTGCCCTTAATTATATGAGATTACCAGAATCCCTACCTCACAGGTTTCAGGGTCAAGTTTGCAAAAGCAACCTGTGAGAGGTTGTCTTTCCTCCTAGTCCTCCTAGGACAGAGGCAGCAGACATAAGATGGGGCTACCACTTCTAGCTAGAAGCTCCCTGGTTTCCTAGGGAACACCCTTGCCTTTCTAAGCTCAAATTTCTAAGCACAAATTGAGCCCTGACAGCAGTTATGGCTTCCAGAGAAATAAGGATGATAATAAATAAGTGTAAAAAGAGTTAACAACACACCCTTTAAGCCAAGAAAAAAAAAATACATCAGGAGGGAGAGTCACAACTGAGTGGACCAAGAGAAGGCATGAGGGGCTGGACCACAGGGCCAGGAGGGAGTGAGGAGCGGGAGAGGTGAGGATCCCCCCGTCCCACCCTAGGAGATGGACAGGAACAGAATAGACTGTGTAGCAGCTGCCAGAGGGTTTCCACTTTCCACCCTGGCCTTGGCAGCTGATCCTCCTCTGCCCTGGCACGACCCATGCTCTGAGGCCATGCTTATGGCAGGCATCTAGCGGGACAGCGGTGTCTGCTTCAGCGACATGAGCACCGAGCGCAGCCGGGACACGTCTTTGCACTGCTTGCTGCTCTTGGGGTTGAAGTCACACAGCTGGGCCACCTTTTCCCATTCTGTGCCTGGGGTGTCCTCCTTGGATTCCTTCACGAAAGCCTCCTCTGATGCCCTGCAAATAGAGATGGAACAGAGGTTTCAGAGCTGACTTTCTCCAAAGTCTGCTTGGCTTCCCTAAACAATTCCCATACCGTATTGGGACACTTTATCCAGAGTTCTCCCCAGTCTAGTGTCTCCTGACCTCAGCTTCCCAAGAACAGCCTTGGCATAAGAAGCCAAGGACAGTTTGTAATACCTAAATCTTGGGAACAGCCCAAATGCCCATCAACTGGCAGATGGATAGAGAAGATGTGTTTTTTTTAAAAATACAATAGGGTACTACTCTGCCATAGACATAGATAAGCTTGAGACATTAGCTAAATGGATATAACTTGAGACTATATGCTTAAGTGAAATAAATTGGACACACATATTTAAGTACTGCATTGTTTCTCTGGGGTAAAAAACTGAAAGTGTAAATAAAGACCAAAACATGTAATAGATATTGGGAAATGGGAAGGAAATGTTCAAATGAGAAGAGAAACAAAGGAGGGGGAAAGGAAGAAAGAGACAAGGAAAAAAAAAAAGAATAGAAGGGAAAATGAGAACAAAACTTTTGTAAATAAGGAGGGGAAGAGGGCTGGGGATTTAGCTCAGCGGCACTGCACCCACCTTGCAAGTGCAAGGTTATGAGTTCGATCCCCAGAACCAAAAAAACTGAAGGAGGGGAAGAGGGTTTGGGGAGGGGGGGGAGAAGCAAGATATATCATGTACATATACGAATTCCCTATAATGAATGTTATCATATATACCTAAAATGTACCAATATAAAGATTCTAAGGGGCCAGGGATTTAGTTCAGTGGTGTGGCTGCCTGCCTCACAAACCCAAGGTCCCGAATTCAATCCCCAGTGCAAAAAAAAAAAAAAAAAAAAAAGCCAAGGGCTGAGGGTAGAGCGAAGTGGTACAGCAGGTACTCAACATGTATGAGGCACTAAGTTCGATCGCCCAAAGAAAAGCTACTTTTGAACTTACTGTCACCTTCCTGAAAGGCTCTTCCTCCACACCTGCTCATGGCTTGTTGCTCCCTGTTATTCAGTCCCCAGAGCAAGCCTCACCTTAGAAAGTTATTCCCAGTCTAGATACTTTCTTCATTATTTCTGCATCCAGAGTTCTCAACCTGGGGCTCCCAACACCGTAAGGCCCCTGAAGAAACTAATACAGTACAGCAGCTATTTTCAACATTTCCGAAATGTTTACCCAGGGAGGGCACAGACCAACCACCTGACTGACTGAAGTGCTTTATGCAGCTTTGCTGAATGTTCTACATGAGCATTCTCCAGAAAAGGGTCGTGGTAAACACACACGGAAATATCAGAAAGATTCTTTAAGCTGGATGTGATGGTGCATGCCTGTGATTCGAGCACTCAGCAGGCTGAGGCAGGCAGATCACTATGAGTTCCAGGCCACTCTGGATGAGCTCAAGGCCAGCCTAGAATACACAGTGAGACCCTGTCTCAAAAAAACAAAACACAGAATAAGATCTTTATATCAACACTTACAAAGCCTTCAATATACTAGTGTGATGACAACCTGCACAGTGGTATGTGTGACAGATACAGAATGTACCACATCCCAAGCATATCTGATACTTTTCAGCCCAGTACAAGAACAGCTATTATCTCTATGGAGCCACAGCCTGAGTAGCACTCCACTGGAGTCTTTGTTTTTGGCTATAATCAAGTTAGAATTCAAACTGGCATGACCTCTTCATCAGTTTTGGCTGACAATTTAAAAAGCCACTGACTGGAGGTGGGGATACAGCTCGGTGGTAAAGTACTTGCCTACCATGCTCAGAGCCCAGGGTTTGATACCAGCACTGCAAAGGGGGAAAAAAAAGCTACTGAATAAGGGATAGTAGATACGGATGAGTAGATAAAATCTAAACATAGGAGTCATTAGGAAAAGACGAGCCAGGCATGGAGGCACACATCTGTAATCTCAGTATTTGGAAGGCTGGGGAAAGAGGCTAAGTTCAAGTATATAGCAAAGACCCTGTCTCAAATGAAGAAAAAGAAAAAGGCAATAAGTGATTATTAGGTGGGGAATGCTAGGTCTTTGTCCTCCTGGACCAACAAGGATCCCTGAAGAGACCCTTTCTTTCTCTCAGAAGCTCCTCTCCATCTCAAGAAAGACACACTCTGCTGCACTTAGGCCCTGGCGAATGGTGGGGAGCTCGTGGGCTGTGTTGAGGAGGAGCTGGCCTGGAATCAGGTGATCCAGCCCCTTCCTAGAAAACCCGCTTACTTGTGTGTGTGTTCACCTCCTAACCTATACAATGAAGATCACAGCCTCCATCCTGGCAATGTTTCCTGGCCTGAGACTCGAGAAGTGGCAGATGTGTTCTGTGTAGAGTTGGAGAGTGGGAGTGAGAGGAGCCATCCCAGGAGACACCCCTTTTGGGGTCAAGAAGTTCCCCTCTTTCTGCTCAGTGCGGTCCATGGTCCAACAGCTTGGCATCACCATGGAGCTTCCTAGAAACACAGGCTCTTGGCCCTCACCTCTGTCCTACTGAATCAGAATGTGCGCCTGCCCAAGCTCCTCTGGTAATTCATAGGCACGTGGAAGTCTGGGAAGCCCTGGCTCATTTTGCACATCAGGACCTCTTCGGTGCTCCCTGGACCACTTAACCTGAACAGGGGCCAAGAGCCCCTGTGGTACCTGTGAGACATCTTCCTTCCGAGCTGGAAACCTCCCCTGACTCCCCGTGGCCATCAAGGCCACATCCGAGAGGAGCTTGGGCAGGTGCAGATTCGTGCCTGGCACAACAGATACTTTACAACTCCCAAAGTGATAGCTCCCCACCTCCACTCCTCTCCATTCCCACCAACCCGGACCTGACAGTGCTCCAGCTATGTAGGCTAACGGGTAGTTCCTTTCTCAGGGGCTTTGTCCCAACTGCTTCTCCCACCTTCTGGGCCCATCCTCTCCAAATTCCTTCTCCGATTTTAAAGTCCAGCTGAAGGAGCCAGACATGGTGGCACATGCCTGTAATCTCAGCACTTGGGAGTCTGAAGCAGGAAGATCGCCATGAGTTTGAGGCCAGCCTAAACTACATAGTGAGACCTTGTCTCATAAAACAACAAAACAGGTCCAGCTGAAGGTCATGAATTTCTGAAATCTGTCCTGGCTACCCCAGCAGAAAGTGGCTCCTAGAGCTCTGTGTATCCTTCCACATATGGTTCTTATCACAACATGCTCCAAGCCATGCATACATTACTGCTTTTCATTGTGTGTGAGTGTGAGTGTGTGTGTGTGTGTGTGTATGTGTGTGTGTGTGAGAGAGAGACTGGGAGTTGAACCCAAGGCTTCACATTGAGTTAATCCCCAGCATTTTT